AGGGAAAGATTTGTGTACACCAGCTAGTACCTGCTGCATGTGTTTGGGATGCCTGAGAACACCTTGCATGATTCTGCTGGTTTCATTGCGGTGTTGTGTGTCAGTGCTACTGGTGTCGCAAGCTTTGTTTTGTCATACCAGCTTTTCAGAACTAACGGGGACAAAGGCTTAACTCTGCGAATTGGGCTAAAGAAAAATATTTGACTTCATAGATGCAGATCTCAAAACATTCCTAGGAAATGTCTTTCAGACGAACAGAATGACAAAATATGACAGGTCCAGCAGTACTGGACCCACTTTCTGTTAGTTTGAGGTGTATCATTACTAACAGAATTAATAAAGCCAGCTTGTAAATTATAGTTAGGTATCTCATGTTAGTGTTTTATTCAGGAAAATAGTATAGTGCGGTTTGATTCTGATGGTGAACTTGGCTGAAGAAGCTCACTGTATAGGAGGCGTAACCTGTTGTTGCAGTCTGAAGGACAGGCATGAACTTTGGATAGCGGAGGAGACTTCAAAATAATGTTAAGTACCAGAGTTTCTGTTGACATAGGCATTTATTCTGAAAGCTCGTAAGTAACAGTGAACTGTAGTTAACACAACATTACATCCAGCGAAGGTGATTGTGTGTGTAGCTGAGCTTCACGGAGCTTTTGGCAAGAGCTCACGCTATCTTCTCCAGATGTCACACTGATCACAGTGGAAGAAAAGGCACCTGGATGTGGCTGACATTAACGCTTCTGGCCATTTCTGTTCCGTTGTTCTGCAGAACTGCATGGCTGACCATCGGGTCAGCGGTCTGATGCGAGTGGGAGATGGTCTTTCTTTGGATCCACTTCATCTGTACATGAGTTTAGGAGGCTTATTAAAAACTAAAATGTAGCAATAAATATCTTTGAAATGCGAGGTGACAGTGAAACTAGGGGGAGCATATCGATATGGTTGTGAGCAATGCTTCCTCCAAATGCCTGATACGCTCAAAAGTGACTTAAAGTAAAATAGCAACCCTGATAGTCCAGACTTCCATTTATATTATGTAAGCTTCAAAGTTGTATCTGCTCACTGCTTTATGAAGTTTCTTTAAAACAGCAGCTGGCAAACTCTTTTTTTTTTTTTTTTTTCCCCCTCCATGGAGACCTTTATCAGCACTGCGGGAGGGGGAAAAAAGCATCTTACAGAAATGGAAAAGCGGGTAGAATGTGAGATTAGTGGTTTTTATTCAGAATTCTTAAACTTTTTGCCTTGCTTTTTGCCAGCTACCTACTTAGTTTCTGAGAAGTTTTAGAAGGAAAGGTGCCTTTGACAAAGAATCAGTATTTCTTACTTTCTTCCTTCCCAAATTCAGATCTCCCTTTCTCATTCCAGTAATGCGACTTGTTAGCTTGGCTTCAGTTCAGGGTTGTATTTTGATTTCCTTTGTTTTGGTTTAAATTAATCTACTTTTGAAGGATTACTTCCTACAAATGGCTTAAGTAACTTTGAGCTTTTATAGCTGAGCAAACTTGTTTACGATTGTGTAAACACTGCACTTTTATTGTGGAAGTCCCTTTAGACAAAGTATTAAGATCTTAATAAATCCAAGTCTTCCAGCAAGTTCAGGGACGTCCAAACATAACACTTGAGCTATTTCTGAGCTTAGAGAAGTTGATTAGTAAAAAGAGAATGGATTGTAACAAGCCTATTCTTCCACTTAGTAGGCAGTGTTCTTAGGCAGCACTTATCCTCTGTTGATACCTTCTCAAGCTATAGGATTTGCTAGGTTTTGAGGTATTTTTAGCTGCACAGTTTTCCCTCTTCGAGACTTCTCTTGTGTAAGAATCAACAGATGAAGAAACAGGAGAAAACCAAGTGACATCAGTACAAGAAAACATCCTTGTACAGAAGGTCATGCTTCAGATAATTGATTTCTGTGGCAGTTGTTCTTCACTTTCTTTGAGTCACAAGTACTGGAAGATGTCTGAATAGTGGTACACGCTTACCAGGGTTGTAAAGTCAGAGTCACGTACAAAGAAAAGTGCCACCAAGATACATCAACACAACAATTAGGTAGCATAACCTCAGTGTACAAAGTGGTTAGCGAGTACGGAAATTTCAACTAACCTCAAAGGAAAAATTAAAAGTTTTGTGTTTTGTCACAGTAACTACAACTAAATAGTAATAGAGGTCTTGGATTTACCGCATAGAAAATTTTGAGTATCTAATCTTGAAGCTGTTGGAAAGCTCTTCAAGGTAAAAGGCCTTATGCCTCTTTAGTCTCAACGACCTCAGTTTCTCCTTTTGAACAGTAGCTTGTTTCCCCAGAGAATATTTTGAACAGTTTTTAAATGTTATGCTTCATGCTTTGTCATACGACACAATTTGTGCATTTATTTGTTAGCCAGAGAACCCCCAGACCTAACCCCACAGTTTATTTTGTCACGACAAAGTTACTAGAATGTTCCAGTTAAGAATGAGGAATTAAGTGACCAGTGAAAACGGAATAGTTGAATGAAAATGAAGCCAAAGAAATCTGTGTGTTTTCTTGGAGAAATCTTTCTTGTTATGGCTGAGCAAAATCTTGGTAGAGGAAGGCAACAGCAGGTCACTTGTATCCTAAATCAAATGTTGATGTTTACCATTATGAGTAAATAAGACTGTTATTTTCAGCTTCTGCAGCCTAAGCCCCAAATCCCAAACAGTAAATTAAGAGCAATATTTTGACCTCACTGATACGTACTCTAAAGAGCTTCTAGGCAACAAGTATTAAAGCCAAATCTCTGATCTAGTTAAGCAAGCTGATGCAGAGTAGTCAGTCCGTGCTTCGGCGTGATTTTTGTGCAGCGTCTTCAGGAGGGTCTGCTGCGCTGCGTGGCTTTGGCAGCGCACGCACTGAGATGGATGGCGTGTCTAATATCTGCTCCTCGTATGAGACCCAGAGGTCTTCCTCCCCTGTGGGAGAGATCCTGAGGCCGAGATGTTGCTTCAAGGCTGCTTTTACTGGCGTCTGTGTAATGCTGCACTTAACTTTTTCAAGTCTCTCACTGTGGACTGCCATGAGAGTAATGCTGCACTGGACGTTGTTTTGCATGCCAGTGTATGTGTATTTTTATAATTTTGATTTCAATGGCGTTTTTAATGGAAATTATTTTTAATCCTGATACCATGGATCATCTTTTCGTTTTTTAAATTAATATCAGTGCCTGTGACTAGAAGTCGAATACTTCTACACTAAATTTTTTTTAAAACTTGATGTCCAGACTGAAGTATTAAGAAGTATGCAGTTTTATATTGAAGTGTGAAATCCACCTGTAAATACCAAACCTTCTCCATATGTGATTTAACACATCTGTCAAGAATCCTCATTCAGAT